AGGTCCCGTCCCTACCTCTTCTCTGCCTCCTCTACGGAGCAGGGAGCACGCTGCCACTCGTCCTCCTCCCACTCGCAAGGGCCATCAGCTGATCAGCGCAGGGAGAGGGATGGGGAGGAGGAGGGGCCGGAAAGCACCACGCTGGTGGAAGAAGCGAGGGGGGTGGGAAGCTTGGCTGCCGCAGGACCAAGCTTCTGCCTCCTGCCCCTGCAGGGGAGTGCTGTGGGCGGGGGGGCTGAGTGGGGCTGGGGGCCGGGACCTCGGCAGCATGCCACTCAAAATTGGCTTGCGTGCCGTAGGTTGCCGACCCCTGGTCAAAATGGTCACCCCCCTGGAACTGGAAGTTCAGAATTGAGCCAGCCAGATTCCCCTTTTTCCAATACCTATTTTATTACTAGAAAGTCAAATCCCAGTATTTCTGCCACCCCTTCTCTCCTCCCCACCCTGCACCACAGTTCAAGTTGCCTGTCAAATGCATAACTCTCGTGAGATCTGACTCAATGACTTTTACAGCAAACGGCTTCTATGATTTTATAGCACCATTATTTCCTCTATTAAAAATGGGGGATGGTAAAAAAACCTGGAATCATTTAACTATTGAATTTCATACCTCATTCCCTACATTCTCTTTGGAGATCATTCCAGCAATGTGCACTCTTCTGGTGCTAAAGGGTCCCAGTCAACTTTTTAAAAAGCCACAGTCTGAAAGTGTTTGGCCTATTGTGATTATAACTAGCACCTAAAAGGATTACAACTGAAAGTTCAGAAAAAATGACATTCCCCTCCCCAGCTTGTTTACTTTTGTGCATTTGACAATGCCTTGTGGGTAGCTCATTGCCCTGTTTCCCATGTTCCTCTGTTGTTCACATGGGTCTTTTGCACAGCACAGAAGAGAAACATCTTGATATATTGGAAAAATGTCATTGTAAACCCATTAAAATTGGCAGGGGAACATCTACTACTATAACTCCATTTTGAAATTGACTAGATTTCACTATGAGCCTGAAAAAGCTGCACAGACCAATTTATCTGCCATAAGGACTGGGCCTTAGTCTCAGTCTGGATTACAACACAAAACATAGCAAGCAAATTAGCAGTCTAGCAGCCCCAATATTAAGTTCTGGACCTAATTAAGGTTCTAAAGAGATACAATTTGACTTTTTTGGAGTTGACTTTAAAAAAAAAATATCCTTGTTTATGACTAAACACCCGTTAAACAGCATAGCCTGAGGATTTTCCTTTTAACGTCCTTTTTAAAAAAGGCTTGAGGGTTTTTCGGCTCCCTTTTCATTTATAAAGGTCATTTAATGAAGAGAGAAACTGACCATATAAGGCAAACTGAAAAAAAACAAACAACCCAAAACACGGAGCTTTTGCTAACCTCTTCCACTTACAGTTGTCTATATGCAGCACATGACTCTTGTGTTTGGGGAGGCAGGATGTGAGCACCAAAAACTCCCTAGAAGTGGGAGGAACCACCAGTGCCTGTACAGTGGCCCCGCCCCTGCTCCACCCCGATGCCCAGCCCCCACGTGGCCTCTTCCCCTGAGGCCCCATTCCCCACTCTGCCTCTTCCCACCCCCACTCTGCCCCCGCCCCGCCACTTGCTCCTCTCCGCCTGCTCCTCCCTGCTCACTACTTTCTGCCCCCTCCTGCCTTACGGGTGAGCAACAGGAGGGAGAGGGCGGAGGGGAGCGAGCATCAGGGGTCTCAGGGGGAAGAGGCACAGCAAGGCCACGGATCGGGTGCCAGTGCCTCCCCGCAACTTCTCAGGAACTTCCAGTGGCAGCACTCCAAAGGTGGTGCGCATCCACTACAGCGGCGTTACAGTTACAGGACTGTCTGCACCTCTTGTCCCCGTTCTGGGCTGTCTGAGCGCTATCGCCTCAGGTGTTCAGCCTCTTGCCCTCATCTGCTTCCGGGTGGAATCCTGCAATTCTCCCACTCTTAGACTGGTACCCAGGTACATAACCCCAACTATACCTACAGCTTATCACCCTGCAGGTGCGACTGGGTTTGGGCATCTGTAACCAGAGATAGTGACTAACTGCCGTCTTGACACAAAGCATTTTTATTTAGCAATTAGAAGCTGGATATGAGTCAACAGTGTGCCCTTGTTGCCAAGAAGGCTAACGGCATTTTGGGCTGTATAAGTATGAGCATTGCCAGCAGATCGAGGGATGTGATCATTCCCCTCTATTCGGCATTGGTGAGGCCTCATCTGGAGTACTGTGTCCAGTTTTGGGCCCCACACTACAAGAAGGATGTGGAAAAATTGGAAAGAGTCCAGCGGAGGGCAACAAAAATGATTAGGGGGCTGGAGCACATGACTTATGAGGAGAGGCTGAGGGAACTGGGATGATTTAGTCTGCAGAAGAGAAGAAAGAGGGGGGATTTGATAGCTGCTTTCAACTACCTGAAAGGAGGTTCCAAAGAAGATGGATCTAGACCAGTGGTCTCCAAAGTGGGGTACGCACACCCCAATGGATGCGCAAGAGAATCCTTGGGGGTGCGTGGCAGGAGGAGCGCCTTTTTTTTTTTTTTTTTTTTGGCAGTTCGGGAGGTAGAGCCAGCGCGTCAGGGAGTTGGACTAGATGACCTCCTGAGGTCCCTTTCAACCTTGATATTCTATGATTCTATGAAATGTTGAATGCTAAAAAGTGCACATTTCACTTACTGATTTTAAAATGTCTTTCCAGCCTTAGCCAAGGTACCACTAGGGAGAGCTCTAGGTTAAGTCAGAGGGTTTTCCTAACCCTTCAGTAGATATCCCCCCACTTCTGCCAGTATGTGGAGTCTGTTAAAAAAAGCTCAGGGGTGGGCAAACTTTTTGGGCCGAGGGCCACATCTGGGTGGGAAAATTGTATGCAGGGCCGGGGCAGGGGTGCAGGAGGGGGTGCGGTGTGCAGGAAGGGGCTCAGGGCAAGGGATTGGGGCAGAGGAGGGGTGTGGAGTGTATGAGGGGGCTCAGGGAAGGGAGTTGGGGTGCAGTAGGGGTGCATAGTGCAGGAGGGGGCTCAGGGCAGGGGTGCAGGAGGGGTGCGGACTGCGGGAGGGGGCTTAGGGCAGGGATTTGGGGAGGCGGGGTGCAGGAGGGGTTTGAGCTCCGGCCCGGCGCCGCTTACCTAAAGCGGCTCCGGGGTGGCAGCGGCGCGCACTGGGGCCAGGGCAGGTTCCCTGCATGCCTGCCCTGTCCCTGTTCCTGCGCCGCTCCAGGAAGCGCTGTGGCCCTGGGGGGGGGGGCTGGTGCTGGCCACTTCTAAGAGCGGCATGGGGCCCGTGGCGCCACGGGAGGCAATCCTGCAGGCCGGATCCAAAGCCCGCCGGATCCGGCCCGGGAGCCGTAGTTTGCACACCCCTGCTCTAGCTGAAGGTTGTGTCAGTATTTCCATTATAAATGTCTGTTCTCAGGAGTAGAATATAGCACCCGTTGAACAGAAAAGTAAGTAGTTGGGATTTTGAAATCAGTCTCCAAATGTCTCACTGAAAATGTCTTAGGGAGTTCTAGTGCGCACTTAACGCTCACAGGACAGCTGCATTGACAATGATGTAATGATGTCTTTTAGCGTTATCCTTGCTCAGAGAAAAACAACATGAATGGCTCAGCACATCGGAGGCAAAGTTGTTGAGATTGTTTCTTAGTTCCAGGCATCACCGATGAGGGAGATCCCAGGCAGTGTAGTCAAAACAGAACAGCACAAGAAGTCATTAAAAAGCCATTCATCCTGAGCAGAATGAGACTGTTCTGCCTGACTAATCTGAACTCCACCCACTCAGTGGAAACAAAAACCAAATCCAGATTTGGACAGTTCTAATGGTGACCTGGGGGTTCACCTTAAACTGCCAGTATTTTTAGATGGATCCCCAAAGTGTGCACATTGTCCTTACTTCTTCCCAGAGCTCCCGGTCAGCTCAGGAAATGCACTGCTGCAGGAAGCAAAAGCTGCAGCTGGATTTCAAGGGGATGAGAGAACTTTATGAATGACCCCATCTGGTAGACACACATTGAATAGAGGGACCAAATGTCATGCTTCAAGGAAAACACTGGGCCGCAAAGGTCAGGAAGGAATCTTGCCCTGCCCCTAAATACAGCATTCCATAATTGATGAGGTACTTCCCGAGGATTTTTTTCCAATGCAGCAGCTATAGATTACTATCACAGACAGTATACCAAAAATTGGCAGGCTGTTGGTCCAATCTGGTATGGAAAATCTTATGATTCTATTAGAAAGAGGGGTCACTTTCTCAACTGCACATGGTATTAAACAAAGCCCTTGTGCTTCAGAAGATAAAGTACTTTCTCCTGAAACTCAGAGAGCAATAAGGGGACAAGCCACAGCTAACTTTATAAACATTTTTAGTCCTGTGACCTCCTGGGAATGAGAGCAACTTAGGGGCAAAGTTTCCATCACCTCTCCTGCTGCTCTGAAATATTGTTATTGACAGTACATTACTGCCCTATCTCAGATATTACAATACAGATCTAACAGATACTTTCAGAGCATAGGAAGGAATATGAAGAGCCAATTCTATTTCACCTCACCTCTTCTTAAATATTTCATTTGTCTCCAGGTTTCCATTCTCTTCAGTGCTTGGCAACACACCAGCAGTTTGCACTTCTATCTCAAAGTACTTTACTAGCATTAAGCCTCGCAACACCCCTATGAAGTACATGAGGTACTGTGAGAAACTGAGGCATAGAGAAGTTAATTGATTGGTCTAAGTCACACAGCAAAGTCCATGGTAGAACCAGGACTTAGATGCAGGACTCTTGGCTCCCAGTCCTCTGCACTACACACCACTTCTTCCCCAGCTGCCTCTTGTCTTTCAACCCACCCAACCTCTTCCCCGCCCCCCAAAAATTCCCAATTCATTTGTATTGGTCTTTTTGGATGCTACTGTTTCTCCTCGCCCTGATGGTTTGTGTGGAAAGCTAGGAGCTATCGGGCTCGATTCAGATACCAGGTTGGAAAGCACATAGTAACAGGTTTTCTTCTTACTTCTTTGCATGATGCCACCCTCCAGGCCAGTTAATCGCTACCTTGCACTTGCCGTCCATCAGACACTGGGCTGCTGTGATGCTGGCCCCTCCTACAGCTGCTGCATAGTCAAAGATACCTTCAGTGGCTGGACAGTCATAACCTAGGGGCAAGAACCAGAGAGTGTCGCTCAGGACAGAAGACAGAAGTGGGAACATCACTGCATTCCTAGTGGGAGTACACCAGGGAACTGTATTTAACTTTAGTTACAGTTCTGGCTTCCCATTCTGGCTACTGTAGGAAGCCAAAGCGAGGCTGCTGGCAAGGGGACTGACCTCCTTTGAGCATGGTCCATGTGGAAGATGCCATCCTCTGGCTTTCCAAGGTGAGTTTCTTTGGGCCGTGCTCCACAGGAAAAAGAATTAAAAGCCAAACGGCTTTCTCAGACCAAGAATACTCAGGGGTTGTATGGATCCCTCCTGGCTCAGCAACAAGCAGGTGTTAGGCCAGTTAGCCCCATTTGCACCACAAACACTGGTTCAGTTACCAGATACATTGGGTTGCTTTGCTCTATTCCCCTCTTTCACATGGAGTACCTGCAACCCCTCTACCTGCCCAACAACAACACAGCACATCCTTAGTCTCCAGAAGCAGAGCCCTTCTACACTTGAACACTATCATGGGAACTCAGTGGATGCGGACCTAGAACGTAACCCGCTCTCTCACCTCCAGCACCACCCCACGCATTGGAGACCTTTCCAGGCATATCCAAAATCTCAGGGTATGTCTTCACTGCAATCAGAGATATGGCAGCAGCACGTCAAGCTAGTTTTGCTCTTGCTAGCTCAAACAATACCCGTGAGCCGCGGCAGCACAGGTTAGCCACTCAAGTGGGCTTCCAAAGCCTGTGCTGCTGCACATGCTGCCCTGGCTTCACTGCTACTGTTATTGGAGCTTGCTAGATCAAAGCTATTTCAACTATGTGCTGCAGTCACACTTCTGATGCACTGGAGACAGACCCTCAGAGCAGCACAGAATTCCAGGACCAGTTTCTAGAATTAAACCTGTCGCCTTGGACGAGCTTTGAGTGTTTTGTGCAGAACTCGGGACTCTGCAGTCGGGCTCAGTGTAACATCAGGAAGGAGGCAGTGTCTCCCACTGTCTCACACAAAGATGACAAACTTCACCTCCCACTGTGCAGCTGGAAATGCTAAAGCCCTTCAGAGTGCTGACTTCAAGGAGTAGCTGCAAGTGCCATGGCAGGCAAGTGAGCAGTATAAATCCACTATAGAGCACAATGCTATTGTACGTGGTTGGAGCCCACTGAGCTCCTGCTATTCCCGTGATTCCTGCTTGCATGTGCTGGAGCTCAATCAATGCCACTCCCAGCTTGTTGGACATCTGCCTTTTCTGCTGCTGCAAGGTGCATGGGTTTGGGTGCTGCTTCCTATCAAACGGCTTTTCAAACGCCTGTAACATCAGGACACGTCAAAACATCCAGTAGAGAATCCAATACCCAAGAATCATGCTGAGCAGCAGAGATGGCATTGGCAATTAAGTAGCCATCATTAGGTTTTCAAGTTAATGCTCCACTGAGGAGGAGGAAAACACCACCCTCACACCCACCCCCTTTGCATCACTGGTTCAGGAAGCCTGGCTTCCAGACCTCTTAAGAAACACTGGAACAGGTTACACCATGGACCACTCTCTGGTGCCCTCTGCTTGTTTGAAACTGAAAGTGAAGCCTCAGATCCCAGGAACACAGCAAGTTCCGCATGATGATCATTGTTTAATACCCACCTCCTGCCCTCCAGAAACCCATAAGCTCCAGCAGTTCAAATAGCAGCTTTGCACATCCACACTAGAGGTATATGGATGGAGTTATACCAATGGCTAGAATCGAGACCTACGTGCAGTCTAGACAAGGTTTAAGTCACTCTTTGTTCAGCCATGGCCATTGAAGTACAGTTCTACTCTGAAAGCGGCCTTGTCAAAATGTCTCTTGGGGCTCCATCTTTATCTTGGGGGGTATGTCTACACAGTCTGCAGCAGCATGCCTCCCAGCCCATGTTAACAGGACTCACTAGAGCTCTAAAAATAGCTATATAGACACCCCTCTCCCTAGGTTTCAGAGCCCAGGCTGCAACTTCAAAGCATTGTCTATGCAGCTGTATTTAGAGCACTAGCACAAGCCCCACTCACCAACCGAAGTCTGTTGACTCAGGCTGGGAGGCTTGCTGCCGCAGGCTGTGTAAACATACCAGATCAAATGCACTTGGTTTCCAAGTAAACCATTGTTTTGTGTCTAGCTGCCAGCCTACCAACTCACCCAGTGATCTAAGAGAGATGCTGGATTCATTCCTTGTCACACCAGCCCAGTAATATAGATTCTCGAACTGAAACTCAATTAGCATTATGTTAATGATGCATGAGCCAGAATAGAATTTAGCTCCCTCTCGCAAAGCTGTGCTGCCTCTTCTAGGTTAAAAGGAGCAATTTTTAAAAAGGTTTGCACTGGGAAAGCTAGTAGTTTTGCCAATTAACACAGGGAGAAGATCTATGCAGTAAGAGCAGCCCATTTTTACAGTCACTTATCAGAGCAGAAACAGACTTTGTTTAAAAGGCTGAAAAGGAGAAAACCTTTGACGGCTCCTTCTGGAAAATGTGCAAGACTTCAAGCTCAAAACAAACACAACCATCTTCCATTCATCTTTGCTTAAAAAGGCTCCTTACCCAGTCCATACTCCACGGACTCCGGGTGGTCATCGTCCCCCTCCTCGCTGACCTTCTGGAGGTGCTGCAGATAGGCATCAGTGTGAAAGCTTGCCATCTCCTCCATGGAAGCCACTTTGGGCTTGACTATCCTAGCAAGACAGATGGAACAAAAGCAGTAAGGCAGATTCACGAGGCGTAGTGGGAACTGTTTGACTGGAAGTTCCTCAGGTTAGGGATCTCGAATTAACTTATGTTATTAAGATATACAGGACACAAAGCTCACAGCAAAGGTTGCCATTCTGACTGAAAAAAAGCCTCCTGCTCTGAGCTGGGCCACTGATTTTAATGGGTGTGAGGCAACGTTATCATGGTTGCCTTTGATGTGGAGCACTTGCAAGCACTGGCTTCAGATTACTGTGCAATTAATCTTTTGTCCTTGTTTGGATTCCATTTCTATTTTCACTTTTATTTGATGCTATTCTGAGTTTCGCTAACTGTCTACAGATCCAAACATTTTGGTCACACACACAGATAGGTAACACTCATGGGCGGCCAGTGACCTGGCCGTTGAGGAAGCTAGCTCCCGGCCCCTCCCCTTGTGTTCCCCTCTCCCGCTCCCCTCTTTCCCCCTTCCCCCTCAGGAGCCCAGAACATCCCCACCATGGCCCCCGGCCCCAGCCCCGGTGTGCCAGGCCACAGCGCCCCCAGCACCCGGGCACCCAGCCCCAGATGGCGCGGCTGCAGACACCCCCAGCCGCACCAGGCAGCACGGCCCCAGCACCAGCCACCCTGAGTCCCTGTGGGAGGCAGGACAGCCAGCCCCAGCCAGCCAGGGCAGAGTGCTGGGAACCACAGGATGGAGCCTGGCCTGGGGGCGGAGCCACGCTAGGCTGTTTAGGGAGGTACAGCCTCCCACTGCCTATGATACTCACCACCCATGATAACACCTGTGTATCACAGCCTGGTCTAGTCCCACTCTCTGAACAGACACTAGTCCATTATGATGGGATCCAATCTTTGGATGCCACATACTGCTAAGCCTCTGGGACTAGAGTGACTGGTCGCTGGTCGGAGTTCTGTGTCTTTCAAGGGCACTCCCTAGTGCAGAAACACCTCTCTTGGGCAATAGGACCCTACAGTCTGGCCCCCCAGACTCCAGAACAGTTTCATAGCCTTCCTGAATCCCTAGTTGTGTAGACAAATTCCACGGAGTCCACTTGGCTATGGGAGCTCTGCTTTCTAGTTAACCCCTTCAGGGGCAACATCACAGTAAAGCAAGGATACCCAGGCTTAGCAAACGAATGCGTTACCACACCCACATTTTACTGTTATGAAGCACAAGAGTTACAGATCAATGGAAAACAGCAAACTCCTGAACGCATCCCCCTCTGTCTTATCTCACCCCTGCCCCATTGTGAGTCTCTGTGTTTGGTCAGTGCTCCTGGAGGAAGCAAAGTCCCTCCTGCCTCCAGTTTCCCCAGCTGGTCTCCTGTTTTTAATGATGAATTGGCCCCTTGGCTTAGAGAACATAAATCAGGTCTAAAAGACCAGGGAGCACCTGTAATATTTTATGAATATCATATGCCCTCCCATTCGATCTATTATTGTGTTGTTTGCTATAGGATAACAAAGGATTCATTCAAGCAGGGGTTGCTTGCACATAGCAAGAAAAGGGGACAACAGCATCAGAAAGGACAATGCAGGTGTCAATCACTTTGCAGTCTGACCTCTGACACCAGGCAGCCACTCCAACAGAGGGCTAGGAGAGCGGGTAATGGAATGGACATGAGCAACATCTAGAAGAACAAAAGGTAGGTAACCGTTTTTTCTTCGAGTGCTTGCTCATGTCTATTCCATGCTTGGTGACTCACAAGCAGTGCCAATGGAAATGGGCTTGGAGCTCAGTCTTGCAACGTGCAGCACTGCCCTGTCGAAGCCAGCATCATTCCATGCATGCTGGGTCAGCGCATAATGGGATGTAAATGTATGGACAGACAACCAGATAGCTGCTTGGATCAGCACCTGAGCCAAGGCCGCTGATGACATTTGCACTTTTGTCAAGTGCGCTTTGATTATCGCCGGTGGAGGCACACTCACCAGCTCATAGCAGTATCGGATGCAGGCTGTGATCCAGGATGAAATCCTTTGAGCAGACACTGGGCGATCTTTCATCCTGTCTGCCACCGCGATGAACAGCCGTGTCCTGGAATGGCCGTATCCTGTCGAGACAGAAAACCAGCGCCCTCCGGACATCCAGGGCATGTAACCTGCACTCCTCTTTGGATTTATGGGGCTTCAGAAAGAAGACCAGTAAGAAAATGTCCTGGCCGGTATGAAACTGGGAAACTATCTTGGGCAGGAACGCTGGGTGCGATCACAACTGGATCTTATCTTTGTAGAACACTGTATAGGGTGGTTTTGACATAAGTGCCCGGATTTCAGACACTATGTGGCTAAACGTAATCACCACCAGGAACACAACCTTCCAGGAGAGAAAGAGAAAAGAGCAGGAAGCCAGAGGTTCGAAGGGAGGCCTCATGAGCCTCGACAGCACAAGACTTAAATCCCAGGGAGGGACAGGGTTCCAGACGTGAGGGCAAAGACGCCACAGACCTTTCAAGAACCAGACCATCATGTCATGAGTGAAGACCGACCTGCCTTGGAACAGAGGATGGAACACAGAAATAGCAGCCAGGTGGACCCTGATCGATGACAGGGACACGCTGTGACGTTCCCCTGGTGTTATCTGGACCGGTGATCTGCTATGTCAGTCCAAACCTTGACCCTGGGAGCCAGCCTTACCCTGCTCTGCTATGAGAACCCCCACTCCCGGGCTGTTCACGCACAGCCTCTAGCATGTAAGCTGCTCCCAGCACGTGAGCGAGCACTTTTGGCCAGCCGCTGCTTGGATTGTGCAACCAAATGACACTAGCCAATATCTCCAGTCCCAGAAACAATCCTAGGAACTTCCGTCTTGCAGTGTCCAGTTATGCCCGCTGGGCACTGCAAGCTTATATGAGTTCATCAATTTAACAAAGAAATTGATATGTACCAGGCTTGTTATCCCAACGGGAGTCTGTGACACGCTTCAAACCAAACGCACTGCTTCAGGTAGAATAAACAAACAAATTTATTAACTACAAAAGATAGATTTTAAGTGATTATAAGTCAAAGCACAACAAGTCAGATTTGGTCAAATGAAATAAAAGCAAAACGCATTCTAAGTTGATCTTACAAACTAAGATGCTTCTCACCACAGGCTAGCTGGCTGCCCTTCAGCCAGGCTCTCTCCTTTGATCAGTGCTTCAGTCGCTTGGTGGTGGTGTCTGTGGATGGAGGTGGAAGGGAGAGGAAGAGCATGGCAAATGTCTCTCCCTTTTATCACGTTCTTTCTTCCCTCTTGGCTCTGCCCTGCTCCCCCTTCAGGGTCAGGTGAGCATTACCGCATCGTAGTCCCAAACTGACCAAAGGAAGGGGGGGGTGACTCACTCAAGAGTCCAACAGATCCTTTGTTGTTGCTTAGGCCAGTGTCCTTTGTTCCTGTGAGGCTGGGCTGGGCTTGTCCCATACATGCCCTGATGAGATGTGAACTGCCCCTCTGCTCCTGGAGAATTTTTGCCTGGGCTTGTTTTAAGCCATGAGGACACATTTTCAGCCTCATAACTATATACATGAAATTACAACCTATAACATTACTGTAACAACAATGCATCATGAGCCTTCCAAAAGACACTCGACATGACAAACTTTGCATTGGATACCACACAATCATATTATAAGGATGAACATGGGGGTGTAGGGTGTTCCCCCGAGATACAGTGTCACACCCTGAAATTTGAGGTGCAGACGATAACCCAGGATCACCTGCAGCGAGGCCTGTTCGGCGCAGATGTGCCGATCCGAAGCCCAGCATGTGAATCTTTTCCACTTTGCCAGGTAAGTCGCTCTGGTGGAGGGCTTTCTGCTACCCAGCAAGACCTGTTGCAGCTGGGTCGAGCATTCCCACTCTTCCGCATTCAGCCACGCAGTAGCCATGCTGTCAAGTGCAACACCTCTAGGTTCGGATGCAGGAAATTGTCGTGCTCTTGGGACAGCAGGGCTGGACAGAGAGGGAGCTGCAGTGGCTGAATCAGTGCTGGCAAGGCCACTCAAGAGCTAACAGGATAACCTTCGCCCTGTCCTGTTTGATCTTCACGAGGACTCTGTGGATCAGTGGCACTGGCGGGAAGGCATACATCAGGGCTCCCGACCACAGGAGCAGGAAAGTATCTGACATGGAACCCCGGTCCATCCCCTGGAGTGAACAGAACACATAGCATTTCCTGTTCTGGCAGGACACAAACAAATCCACCTGGGGAGTTCCCCACTTTTGGAAGATCATACTAGCTGCCTCCAGATGGAGCGATCACTCGTGGCGAGACGAGAAGGTCCTGCTGAGGCAATCTGCTAGCACATTTTTGGTCCTGGGCAGGTGCACGGCTACCAGATGAATGGCATGCCGCACACAGAAGTCCCAAAGGCTGAGAGCTTCTTGGCAAAGGGCTGACGACCTGGCTCCGCCCTGCCTGTTGATGTAATACATCGCAGCAGTATTGTCCGTAAGGACCTGCATCACCTTGGACCTCAGGGGGCGCAAGAAAACCTGGCAGGCCAGAAGAACTGCCCTTAACTCCCTGACATTGATGTGAAGGGCCAGACTGTCCCACAGCCAGCGGCCTTGAGTGCGGAGCTTGCCCAGGTGGGCTCCCCAGTCGAGGTTAGAAGCATCTGAAACCAGGGTCGGGGATGGGGCCATGAAGGGAACACCCTCCAACACCAACCCGGGGTTCAACCACCACTTCAGGGATGACAGGATGTGATCCGGCACCCTGACTACTCAGTGTATGTTGTGTCTGTTGGGGGTGTAAACCGACACCAGCCACGCTTGAAGAGGTCGGAGGTGGAGCCAGGCATGACTGACCACGTATGTACAAGTGGCCATGTGGCCTAGCAACTGCAGGCAAGTGTGAGCCGTGGTGAGCAGGTGGTTCTTCACATTCGAGATCAGACACACCTCTGGAAGAAAGGCTCTGGCTCGTGTGGAATTGAGAACCACCCCAATAAACTCCATGCATTGGACTGGCCTCAAGTTGGAATTTTTCTCATTTAT